TTTATATACATACACTTTTTTTTTTAACAGCTCCTTCGAAGTGGTCCTTTCTTACGATTCACACATATTTTAACTTTATCTTACTCCACATTGTTCTTCCAATTTTGCGCATAGACTATGCGGGCTGCTGTTAGTATGTGTAATGTTAAATATTGTATTTTTTTGTGTGTGTAATTTTCTATGGGAATTCCTAGTAAGAATTGCTGTGGTTCTCCCTTTATTGATTTCTGTGTTATCTCCTCTAGCCACTTTTTGACTTTTGCCCAGAATTTCTTTGCCACCGGCAAGTCCACCAGATATGGTAGTATGTTCCATAGTTACTCTTACATTTCCAGGATTTCGGTGAATTACTAGGGAACATCTTTGCTATTCTAGCTGGCGGTAGATGCCATCTATGAAACATTTTCATCTGGTTTTCCTTGTATGCCGTTGATATTGTCAATTTCATATTTATTCTCCACATCTTTTCCCACTTCTCTAATTCTACTGTGTGGTTGAAATTCCCTTGCCCATTTAATCATAGCATCTTTCACTATTTCCTCCTCCATTTTATACCGTGATAAGAATTTATATATTTTGCTAATTAATTTTTGTTCCCTCCCATATACAATTTTATCCAATTCGTTTTGCTCCAATTTACTTACTCTTTTCATGTATTCAAAGTATGTTTATACTTTCACCTGTTATCTTATATATGCTTGACAAATAAACTTATCATTATGATTATGCAACCTGTTGTAACGGAGAGGGAGTCCTCTCCTTAAGACCACCATTGAGCCCAAGATTTCCGTTGCTAAGCGAGACCGTTGCTAACTGAGTTTGGCTCCATTTTACGACCTTTCTTGCCACCGTCGTAAAGTGAATCACTTCCGTTCTTAACACGGTTGTTAAGTGAATTGGGCTTCCCCATTGACCTTGCTGGTTGCAAAAGATCGCAAAAAAGGGATCGCATGACTCCCCCCCCCCCGGACTCCGCAACCGTCATAAATGTGAGTCAGTTGTCAAGTGGCTGAATTTTGATCGCATGAACACGGCCGTAAGTGTGAAAAACGGTCATAAGTCACTTTTTTCAGTGCCATTGTAACTTTGAACGGTCACTAAATGAACGGTTGCAATTCGAGGACTACCGATACTCTAGCTGGGAGCAATTCTGCAGTTCACCATCTCTAGAGATCTCGTACAGGTAGTCCTCGACTTACAACCGTTCATTTAGTAACCGTTCAGAGTTACGACGGCACTGGGAAAAAAGTGACTTACGACCGTTTTTTCAAACTTAGGACCGTTGCACCATCCCCCTGGTCACATGATCCGAGTTCATCCACTTGGCAACTGACTCATATTTACGATGGTTGCACCGTCCCCGGAGTCAGGCGATTCCCCTTTTACGACCTTCTGACAAGTAACGTCAGCGGGGAAGCCAGATTCACTTAACAACCATGTTACTCGCTTAACATCTGCAGCGATCCACTTAATAACAGCAGTCGCAAGAAAGGTCGCAAAATGGGGCAAAACTCACTTAACGGATGTCTGACTTAGGAACATAAATTGTGGGTTCAATTGGGGTCGTATGTTGAGGGCTACCTGTATTTCCCTGCTGGATGCTGCCTTCCACCTCTGTCTCCACAGAGACAGAGACAGAGACAGAGACAGAGACAGGAGGGAGAGAGAGAGAGATAGACAGGAGAGAGAGAGAGAGAGAGAGAGAGAGACAGGAGAGAGACAGGGGAGAGAAATAGAGACAGAGAGAGACAAAGACAGAGACAGAGACAGGAAAGAGAGAGACACAGAGAGAGACAGAGACAGAGAGACTAGAGAGGAGAGAGACAGAAGAGAGAGACAGAGACAGAGAGAGACAAAGACAGAGAGACAGAGACAAAGACAGGAGAGACAGAGACAGGAGAGATACAGAGAGAGACAGAGACGGGGGAGAGAGAGAGAGAGAGGAGAGAGACAGGGGAGAGAAATAGAGACAGAGAGAGACAAAGACAGAGACAGAGACAGGAAAGAGAGAGACACAGAGAGAGACAGAGACAGAGAGACTAGAGAGGAGAGAGACAGAAGAGAGAGACAGAGACAGAGACAGAGAGAGACAAAGACAGAGAGACAGAGACAGAGACAGGAGAGACAGAGACAGGAGAGACACACAGAGAGACAGAGACAGGAGGGAGAGAGAGAGAGAGACAGGAGAGAGACAGGGGAGAGAAATAGAGACAGAGAGAGACAAAGACAGAGACAGAGACAGGAAAGAGAGAGACACAGAGAGAGACAGAGACAGAGAGACTAGAGAGGAGAGAGACAGAAGAGAGAGACAGAGACAGAGAGAGACAAAGACAGAGAGACAGAGACAAAGACAGGAGAGACAGAGACAGGAGAGATACAGAGAGAGACAGAGACGGGGAGAGAGAGAGAGAGGGAGAGAGACAGGGGAGAGAAATAGAGACAGAGAGAGACAAAGACAGAGACAGAGACAGGAAAGAGAGAGACACAGAGAGAGACAGAGACAGAGAGACAAGAGAGGAGAGAGACAGAAGAGAGAGACAGAGACAGAGACAGAGAGAGACAAAGACAGAGAGACAGAGACAGAGACAGGAGAGACAGAGACAGGAGAGACACACAGAGAGACAGAGACAGGAGGGAGAGAGAGAGAGAGACAGGAGAGAGACAGGGGAGAGAAATAGACAGAGACAGAGACAGGAAAGAGAGAGACACAGAGAGAGAGACAGAGACAGACTAGAGAGGAGAGAGACAGAAGAGAGGGAGAGAGACAGAGACAGAGAGAGACAAAGACAGAGAGACAGAGACAAAGACAGGAGAGACAGAGACAGGAGAGACACAGAGAGAGACAGAGACAGAGACAGGAGGGAGAGAGAGAGAGATAGACAGAAGAGAGAGACCGAGACAGAGACAGACAAAGACAGAGAGACAGAGAGAAAGACAGGAAGAGAGAGACAGGAGAGACACAGGAGAGACAGAGAGAGACAGACACAGACAGAAGCAGAGAGAGAGAGACAGGAGAGAGACAGGGGAGAGAAATAGACAGAGACAGAGACAGGAAAGAGAGAGACACAGAGAGAGAGACAGAGACAGACTAGAGAGGAGAGAGACAGAAGAGAGGGAGAGAGACAGAGACAGAGAGACAGAGACAAAGACAGGAGAGACAGAGACAGGAGAGACACAGAGAGAGACAGAGACAGGAGGGAGAGAGAGAGAGAGAGAGAGAGGAGAGAGACAAAGAGAGAGACCGAGACAGAGACAGACAAAGACAGAGAGACAGAGAGAAAGACAGGAGAGAGAGAGACAGGAGAGACACAGAGAGAGACAGAGAGAGACAGACACAGACAGAAGCAGAGAGAGAGAGACAGGAGAGAGAGACACACACACAGAGAGAGACAGAGACAGGAGAAAGACAGAGACAGAAACAGAGACAGAGACAGAGAGAGAGAGAGAGAGAGAGACAGAGACACAGGGACAAAAAACAGAGAGAGAGACAGAAGAGAGAGAGCAATTTGGGTCCATGCCCTGACCCTTGACCCCTTAACTTCCGGGAAGAAAAGGAGGAAGGACTTCCTTTTTCCGTTTCCTTCCTGGTTTTTCAGCCTGCCGTTAAGCAGGAAATGCAGAAGATGAGAAGCAGTGTCATTCCCAGCTGAATCCAGTAAGCCGGCTGAAGGAATCTTGTGTGCGAGAGTTCCCCAGGCTGAATGCCTGGCTGCCCCACCCCCTCAGTTTTGGGATCCCTTTGGTTCCCCCACTGGATTACCGGGGGCCTTTCGCTCGTTGGGGATGAGGCACCGCACGAAATGAGGTGAGTGGTCTTGAGGTTGGCCATCAATTTGTTGAGGTTCTCCTGCCAGAGGAAAAGAAAAGGAGGAGGGGGAGGGGAAGGGAAGAAGAAAGGGAAGGAGGAAGGGAGAGAGGAAGGAAGGAAGGAGGAAAGGAAAGAGAGGAGGAGACACAGAGGGAGGGAGGCAAGAGAGGAGAGAAGGAGGGAGGAAGGAGGGAAGGAGAGAGGAGAAGGAAGGGAGCAGGAAGGAAGGAAGGGAGAGATTGAGGGAGGGAGGGAGGAAGAAGGGAGGGAAGGAGAGAAGAGGAGAGAGAAAGAACAGGGAGGGAGAGGAGATGAGAGGAGGAAGGAAGGAAGGGATTGAGGGATGAAGGGAGGGAGGAGGGAGGGAAGGAGAGAAGAGAAGAGAGAGAAGAAACAGGGAGGGAGAGAAGATGAGAGGAGGGAAGGAGGGAAGGAAGGAAGGAAGGAGAGAGAAAGAGGACATGGAGGAAGGTGGGTGGGTAGGTGGAAGGACAGAAGGAAGAAGAGAGAGGAGAGGGAAGAGGGAAGGAGGAAGGAGAGAGGAAAAGAGGAGAAAGAGAAGGAAAGAAGGAAGGAGAAGGAAGGAAGGAAGGAAAGAGGAGAGATGGAGAAGAGGAAGGAAGGAGAAAGGAGAAAGGAGAAAGGAGAAGAGGAAAGAGAGTGAGAGGAGAGGAGAGGGAAGGAAGGAAGGAAGGGAGACGAGAAATGGAAGGAGGGAGGGACAAAGGAAGGAGAGAGGAGAGATGGATGGAGGGAAAGAAGATGGGAGGAAGGAAGGAAGGAAGGAAGGAGAGAGGAGGAGGAGAAGAGGGACAGGGACAGAGACACAGAGAAATGTTCATTATGTTTCTCCTTGCAAACCCCAGTTAACGTAGAAACCAACATTTGGCCAAGAAGCTGCGTGGCCCTCAACTCCCAGAATTCCCCAGTCAGCACGCCAAGTTCGGACAACACTGCGACACAACAATGTCCCCAAATTCCAGCTGTGGGTTCTAGTCCACTCCGGAACCCTGGCCCTCTGCCCCCCGGGAGGTTCCGCGTTCCTCAGAAAGGAGATGATGGACCTCTGGGATCTTCTGGGTTCTCCCCAACTGCCAGGATTGCCCCCAGCCCCACGGTTTCCCCACGGCTCCCCCTCGTAGGCGACCTAGAACCCATTTTTCTTTTCCCCCCAGGGGTTCTCGACTCGTACCCGGTGAAGCGCTGAGACCGTCTGGAAGGAGGAGCCTTTTTTCTTGGATCCTTTGCCCTTCCCGCCTTCTCCGCCTGAGGGAACAAGAGAAGGTTGACGGAAGGAGGCCGTCGCAGGACTCTCTCTCATCTGCCCAAGCACAGGAGTCCTCGACTTACCACGATTTGTTTAGCGACCAAAGTTAGGGCAGCCAACTTACAAACTAGTCCTCACCCTTATGATCCTTTCCTTTCCTCCTCTTTCCTTTTTCTATCTCCCTTTCTTTTCCTTTTTTCTATCTTCCTTTCCTCTTCTTTCCTTTTCCTTTTCTGTCTTCCTTCCCTTCCCTTTCATTTCCTTTTTCTATCTTCCTTTTTTTTCCTTTTTTCTATCTTCCTTTCCTTTTCCTTTCTTCCTTTCCTTTTTTCTATCTTTCCTTCCTTCTTCTATTTACCTTTCCTTTCCTTCCCTTCTTCCCTTCCCTTCCCTTTTTCTATCTTCCTTTCTTTTCTCCTTCCCTTCCCTTCCCTTCCCTTTTTCTATCTTTCTTTCCTTTTTTCCATCTTCCTTTCTTCTTCTTTCTTTCTATTTTCTTTCCTTCCTTTTTCTGTCTTCCTTTCCTTTCCTTTTTCTATCTTCCTTTCCTTTCTTTTCCTTTCCTTTTCTTCCTTTCCTTTTTCTCTTTCCTTTCTTCTTTTCTTCCTTCCCTTTCCTTCCCTTCTCCCTTCCCTTCCCTTTTTCTATCTTTCTTTCCTTTTTTCCATCTTCCTTTCTTCTTCTTTCCTTTCTATTTTCCTTTCCTTCCTTTTTCTGTCTTCCTTTCCTTTCCTTTTTCTATCTTCCATTCTTTTTTTTTCCTTCCTTTTCTTCCTTTCCTTTTTTCCTTTCCTTTTTCTCTTTCCTTTCCTTCTTTTCTTCCTTCCCTTTCCTTCCCTTCTTCCCTTCCCTTCCCTTTTTCTATCTTTCTTTCCTTTTTTCCATCTTCCTTTCCTCTTCTTTCCTTTCTATCTTCCTTTCCTTTCCTTCCCATTCCTTTTTCTATCTTTCTTTCCTTTTTTCCATCTTCCTTTCTTCTTCTTTCCTTTCTATTTTCCTTCCCTTCCCTTTCCTTCCCTTCTTCCCTTCCCTTTTTCTATCTTCCTTTCCTTTCCTTTCCTTCCCTTCTTCCTTCCCTTCCTTTTTTCTATCTTCCTTTCTTTTCTCCTTCCCTTCCCTTCCCTTTTTCTATCTTTCTTTCCTTTTTTTTTATCCTTCCTTTCCTCTTCTTTCCTTTCTATCTTCCTTTCCTTCCCCTTTCCTTTTTCTGTCTTCCTTTCCTTCCCTTTCCTTTCCTTCCCTTCCCTTCCCTTCCCTTCCCTTTTTCTATCTTCCTTTCCTTTCCTTTCCTTTCCTTTCCTTTCCTTTCCTTTCCTTTCCTTTCCTTCCTTTCCTTCCTTCCCTTCCCTTCCCTTCCCTTCCCTTCCCTTTTTCTATCTTCCTTTCCTTTCCTTTCCTTTCCTTTCCTTTCCTTTCCTTTCCTTTCCTTTCCTTTCCTTTCCTTCCCTTCCCTTCCCTTCCCTTCCCTTCCCTTCCCTTCCTTTCCTTCCTTCCTCATCCCTGATTTATAGCTTTCTAAATTAGACTCCACCACTTTCTGGTTTGTGTCTCTTCCAATTGTCCCCTTCGCCTTCTCCAGGGACATTCCCAAGATGGTGAGGGCCCTCAACAGCAGAAAATAAGGCCCATAGGATCTCAACATTGGAAGCTGGTGAGCAAAGAACCACCTTCATTAACCCTGAATCCCCGTCACCCAATAATTCCTGAGAGGCATTAATGTTGAATCTCCAAGAGGTCCTCAGATGTTCGTTTTTGGAGCATCTCCAGGTCAAGACCACCTCTGGAGACGCAGAAGATTCAAGCCAGTCAATGACAAAATTCTCTCTTTCCTCTTTCCCTCCCCAATCTCACTGTCAGACTTCGATGCTATCTCAAAATTAAATGAATTTCCAAACTGCCAATCTTTAAGGAAATCTTTTCTTTAATTGAGCACAGCCACCGGATCATGACTTGATGCGGACAAGACTGACCTTTTGCCCCCCAATCCCTCCCTTTCCGATCCCCAAATCTCTGCTTCTCATTGGCTGTCTTCCAAGTCATTCTTCAGACTTCTTGTCTCGTCATTTCCCAGGAATGTCTCCCCCCTTCATTTCCACGACAACCCGACTTCAAAGGGATTTAGCAGGCAAAAGTTCAGAGCTTATCTCTCTCTCTCTCCTCTGCTCTCTATGCCAGCGTTGAAGCACTGACACTCACCCACTTCGCTGCCAGCGTAGCTGGAGAAGAGCGTGGCCAGGAGCTTCAGGGCCGACTTCTGGAAGAGGCCCACCACGGTCTCGTTGAGAGGGTCCTTGTTCTTCTCCAACCACCCGTTGATGTTGTAGTCCACCGTGCCAGCGTAGTGGACCAGGGCAAAATGCGCCTCCGGTTTCCCCTTGGTGTTCCGGGCTTTGCCGAAGTTGGAGGACTTGCCCAGGTGGTTATCGTAGAGTTTGGCCTTGAAGGTCATGTCGCTGGCTTTGGGGAACATGCATTCTTCTTCCAGGATGGACATGATGCCCAGAGGCTGGCTCCAAAAGATGGAGATGAAAGAGACAACAATGAGGATAGAAAAGATGGAAAAAATTAACCTTCCCGGAAGTCTAAGCAACCTTTTTACAGGATGTCCTCAAAGGAGCTTTTTTTTTTCAATTGGGCTTTCTGGTTTTTCTTTCGAAGACGTTTCGCTTCTCATCCAAGAAGCTTCTTCAGCTCTTCAAGCTTCTTGGATGAAAAACGAAAAGTCTTCAAAGAAAATCCAGGAAGTCCAGTTGCCTCTTGAAAAAAAAAAAAAGAAAAAAGCATCTTTGGGACAAACCAATGTTTGGGATTCAGCTGGTTCGGGCGAATCTGTTATTAAATTGCTGACTGGAGGTTTTTAAAGAAGAGATTGGACAACGATTTGTCTGAAATGGGATAGGGTATGGGGTCTCCTGCTGGAGAAAGGGATTGGACTAGAAGACCTCCAAAATCCCTTCCAACTCTATTATTCCGTTAGAAGAATCGGATCGTCCTAGAATCTGGAACCTCTTTCTTCCGCCCTCAAGTTATCGAGGGGTTGTGTCCAGGGGTGGGATTCAAAAATTTTAGCAACCGGTTCTCTGCCTGGTTGCTGGGTGGGCGTGGCCATGGTGGGCGTGGCCTACTCGGCCTCCTGCACCACAGCAGGGGGAGGGGGCATTTTCGCCCTCCCCAAGCTCTGGAGCCTTTCCTTGAGCCTCCGGGAGGGCGAAAACCACCTGCCCCGGACTCCGGAGGCTGGAAATGAGCCTGTTTCCGGATTTCTGGACCTTCTGGGAGGCCCGTTTTTTGCCCTCCCCAGGCTCTGGAGGCTTTCCTTGAGCCTCTGGAAAGGCGAAAATGGCCTGCCCCGGACTCCAGAGGCCAGAAACGGACCCGTTTTCATATTTCCAGAACTTCCAGGAGGCCCGTTTTTTGCCCTCCCAGAGCCTCCGCGCAGGCCCTGCCCTTACCTGGCATCCAAAATGGGCCATGTGGAGACTCCTGGGAGGGGCGGGGTGGGAGGGGCCAGCCAATCCTTGCAACTACGAATTCGGTGAATCAGATGTAAAATTAGCCGGTCCGAACCGGCTGAATCCCACCTCTGGTTGTGTCCTCCAAATAACCCAACTGTTGTTCAGAGAAGCTCATCTGAGATACGTTTCGGAGAACCAATGATAGAAGGTTTCCCCATTCTCCTAGCTTACCTTCTTTTTTTTGTTTGTTTGTTTTAAAAACAAACTTTATTAGATTTAAAAAAAAATTGTATAAAACATTCACAACCTTAAAATACAGTCAACAATATCAACAAACAACAAATAAAGTATATATAATGTATATAAGTACACATATATACAAAAACTTATTTTCCCTTTTTTCCCCTGTTAATGACGGTGTATAATTATTACTTTTAATTTCTTACTAAATTTTGACTTTACCTTCTTTTCCATTGGTTTATCCACTCATACCAGCTGTCCCTTATCTTAAAATACTGAGAGTCTTCCTTATCTTTCAATTTCAACGTTAATCTATCCATTTCTGCACATGTGTAAATTTTTTGAATTATTTGCTGCTCCGTTGGCAATTGATCTGTTTTCCAAACTTGTGCTAGGGCTAATCTAGCTGCCGTAATTATATGTAATATTAGGTACTTTTTTTCCTTTCTAATATTTTGTTTGAGCATTCCTAACACAAAAATTTCTGGTTCTAACTCAATATCCTCCGCAATTATTTCTGAAATCCAAATTTTTATTTTTATCCAATATTTCTTAGTTTTTGGGCAAAGCCACCAGACATGAAAGAAGGTTCCCTGTGCTTGCTTGCATTTCCAATACGTTGGATCAAGATTTGCATACATCCTCGCTAATCTCGCAGGGGCTAGATACCATCTGTACCACATCTTGTAGTGGTTCTCCTTATATGCTACGGAGAGCGCAGAGAAGAGCAACAAAGATGATTAGCGGGCTGGAGGCTACAACAGTGCCTGGAGAAGAGCGAGGTACCTTCTCAATGAGGTCAATGCAGGCTTGGAGGTCCATGCCGAAGTCAATGAAGACCCATTCGATGCCCTCCTTCTTGTACTCCTCTTGTTCCAGCACGAACATGTGATGGTTGAAGAACTGCTGCAGCTTCTCGTTGGTGAAGTTGATGCAGAGCTGCTCAAAGCTGTTGAACTGGGAGCGGGGAATGGGGGGAAAACAAAATTATGGACCACCCAAAGTCAACCCACCAACGTGAGTCACGCGGGTCGCACGCTGCTCCCTGTAGACCCCGTTGTGACAGACTTACGTCAAAGATCTCAAATCCTGCTATGTCCAACACGCCGATGAAATACTGCCGAGGCTGCTTGGTCTCCAAAGTGTTGTTGATTCTGACCACCATCCAGTGGAACATTTTCTCATACACGGACTTGGCCAGGGCCCCGATGGAATAATACACCTGGATGGGTGGACAGGAGAGATCATGGATTTGCATAGCGAAACAAAATAATAGAGTGGGAAAGGAATCTTGGACATCTTCTAGCCCAGCCCCCTGCTTGTTGTGGTCCACTAGCAGCCTGTGGAGCTGGCAGCAGACTTGGACAGTGAGGAGGCTGGGGAGGAACAGGGGCCAGTCCTGGAGTCTGAGGAAGGCCCGGATGAGGGCTCTGCGTCGGAGGCAGAGATGGGGCCAGGGCCATTTGGGAGTAATGCGTGGACTCCGGAGCTCCCAGAGTCAGAAAGCAGAGAGGGAGAGGAACAGGAGGATCCTGTTCCTAGTGCACGCATGCGCAGAGCTGACAGAAGGCAAGAGCAGCTAAAGCAAAAGGGACGACTAGGGAGTAATTGGCAGCTAGCCACTGGGTTGCTGACAGCTTTATCTTCAGAGACTTTGTCGTGTGGCTTATTAACTCCGGGCCGTCTGTGGGGGTGCGTGTGTGGGACGGAGACAGAACAGAAAGCTGATTGGGTGACTTGGGGCCAATCACCAGAGGTCAGTGACTTCTAGCGCCGTGTTGGGCATGAAAGTCAGCTGGGTGAGCCTGAGCCAATCTGGGAATTCTAGTTCCGCCATGAAAGCTGGTGGGGTGACCTTGGGCCAATCACCAGGAGACAGTGAGTTCTAATCCCGCCTTCAGAATGAAAGCAGGCTGGTTGATTTTTCTGCCCATCACCAGGAGATGGTGAGTTCTAGTCCCGCCTTAGCTATGACTAGCTGGCTAGGCGACTTTGGACAAGTCACTCTCTCTTAGCCCAGCCCACCTCACAGGGTTGTTGTTGTTGTTGTGGGGAAAATAGAAGGAGGAAGATGTCTTAAGTATATACGTTCACCACCTTGCGTTACGTATAAAATATTAATAAAAGTGGGATTAACAAAATCTAATGTAAAAAAAAAAAAATCTAATCCACTCTGGAGCTGAGGAGTTTTCCTGCTCTATAGCTAAGCTGAAAGCTCGTGGGTTCACACATGACTCTTAATTTGATCATGGTTTGTTTCTGGCTTAGCCCAAATATACGAATCTAGACATCCTGTTACTCATGGCTAGGAGTTTTTTTTTTTTTTTTTTAATTTGATTTATATGCCGCCCTTCTCCGGAGACTCAGGGCGGCTTACAATGCGTTAAGCAATAGCCTTCATACTTTTGTATATTTTATACAAAGTCAGCTTATTGCCCCCACAAACTGGGTCCTCATTTCACCTACCTTAGAAAGGATGGAAGGCTGAGTCAACCTTGAGCCTTGGAGAGATTCGAACCAGCAAAAATTGCAGGCAGCTGTGTTAATAACAGGGTGCGTATACCACTGTACTATCAAGGCTCTTACGATGTGAAACTACCTATCTTGGTTTGTTCCAGAAATCGGGTTTGAAATGAGGGGTTCTTGGTACTCTCTGAGCTTGGTTGTTTTCCTGCAGACATTTCGTGACCCAGCTAGGGAACATCATCAGTGCTAGAAGGGAGTGTGGGAAGAGGAGGAGGAGGAGGAGGAGGGCTGTGGGGTCCTCGGTACTCTCTGAGTTTGATTTTTTTTTTTTGCAGACATTTCATTACTCAATGGGTAATTTCAATGGGTAATAAAACATCTGCGAACAACAGCCAAGCTCAGAGAGCACCCAGGACCCCTCCCAACTCCTAATTTCCCACAATGCCACAGGATTCTGCTCTGCCAGAGCATTGTGGGACACGGAAAAAAAGGCTACCCCCATTTCTCTTAAAAGCCCTTTCCAGTCCTCAAATGGGCCCAATTTAGAAATCCCTCTGGCGTTTCGATCCCTTTTTTAATCTTCTGAAAGAACACGAGAGCCAGATCGGCTCAAACCAATGTTGGTTTAACTCCGCCACAGTCGGACCGTCGCCTCCCTAAAGCCAATAATCAGGGTTTAAGAATAGCAAACTTCTCCTAATCCTGCAAGCATCCCTCCATTGATTGATACTTCGATCTAAACCCCTGCAGTGCAACAATAAAATCTATCTGGATTTTAAGATGGGATATAAATAAATAAATAAAAAGACAGAAGTTAGCAAAAATCTTAATCTAAAGGATCTTATTACCATACGTGGTGGACTTGTCCCGAAGCAAAAAATTACTGGTACAAGATTAAAATCTGGCTGGAAGAAATGATACAACAACGTATTGAATTTAAACCAGAGTTGTTTCCTACTGGGTATCTTTCCAGAAAAAATTAATAAGGAAAATGTATATTTGATTATACATGTAATAACAGCTGCAACAATTGTGAATGGTCAAAATTGGAGATCAGAGAAAATACCTTTGGAAGAAGAAGTAATAATAAAAAAAAAATAGACATGCAGAAATGAATAGATTAACTTTGACGATTAAAGATAAGGAGGAATCAGAATACTTCAAAACATGGAATTATTTTTTATAGTTGGTTGGAAAAGAGATATAAATGACTGATACTATAATTGTGTACAAATGATGATTATAATATTGACTTAGAAATGAAATGGTAGAAGGGTTTGGATGAATATGACGATAGAAGAAACTTGTGGAAGATGGAGAAGAAGCCTAGAAGATAACACCGAGATATCACAGGGAAGGGAGGATTTAAATATTAAATGTTTGTCTTAAAAAAAAAAATTACTAAAAAAAAAAAGGAATCATGAAATCGAGGCTAACTTTTTTTTTTTAAAAAAATTGCGCTGCTTTGCAACATTGTTTAACAATAGAGGTAGTCCTCGACTTACGACCACAATGGACCCCAAAATTTCCCGTTGCTAAGCGAGATAGCGGTTCAGTGAGGTTTTGCCCCGGCGGAGGATTTTTCTTGCCAGAGGAGTTGTTGTTAAGGGAATCACTGCTGACTTCCGGTGGGACCGGAAGGCTCATTTTTCACCCTCCCCAGGCACCAGAGCCTTTCTAGGAGTCTGGAAAGGGCGGAAACGGTCTTCCCCATCCCTCACCCTCCCGCCCCCGAAGCCCTCCGGAGGCCAGAAACAGCCTGTTTTCCCGACTTCCGTGGGCCCAAAAGGCCCAAAAATCAGCTGGCCCACAGAGCTGAGCCATCACGGCCTTAGAAGAACGAGATAAAGCTATCAGCCAGGATTGGAAAGCTGTTGTGTATTTGTGGCTTGCTTTGTGTTTTCGGTTCCAGCTGTCGCGGACATAGCTTGAAGGCCGTTGGTGGGACAGGTGTTTGATGAGCCTGGCTCCCCACCCCCCAAAACCCCCAGCTTCAGGCCTTCTGCTGAGCCCGTCATTCCAAAGCGAAAGGAAAAATTATAAGGCCTTGGCAAGAGCACCCTTTGGGAATCCTGCATCCAGATTTGGTCACCACGATATTAATAAAAAAAGATGTGGAGACTCTAGAAAGAGTGCAGAGAAGAGCAACGAAGATGATTAGGGGACTGGAGGCTAAAACATATGAAGAACGGTGGCAGGAATTGGATAGGTCTAGTTTAATGAAAAGAAGGACTAGGGGTGACTAGAGTAAATAGAAATAGGAAGAGGAAGAGGAGAAAAGAGAAGAATGAAGGATAGGATAGGATAGGATAGGATAGGACAGGTTACAGAATAAAATAGGTTACAGGAATGGAATGGAGTGCAGTGGAGTGGAATGGAATGGAATGGAATGGAATGGAATGGAATGGAATGGAATGGAATGGAATAGAATAGAATAGAATAGAATAGAATAGAATAGAATAGAATAGAATAGAATAGAAAATATGGAATGGAATGGAATGGAATAGAATAAAATAGAATACAATAGAATACAAAATATGGAATAGAATAGAATAGAATAGAATGGAATGGAATGGAATGGAATAGAATCGAATCGAATCGAATCGAATAGAATAGAAAATATGGAATAGAATAGAATAGAATAGAAAATATGGAATGGAATGGAATGGAATGGAATAGAATAAAATAGAATAAAATAGAATACAATAGAATACAATAGAATACAAAATATGGAATAGAATAGAATAGAATGGAATGGAATGGAATGGAATGGAATGGAATAGAATAGAATGGAATGGAATGGAATGGAATGGAATAGAATAGAATAGAATAGAAAATATGGAATAGAATAGAATAGAATGGAATGGAATGGAATGGAATGGAATAGAATAGAATAGAATAGAATAGAATAGAATAGAATACAATACAATACAATAGAATACAATAGAATACAAAATATGGAATAGAATAGAATAGAATAGAATGGAATGGAATGGAATGGAATGGAATCGAATCGAATCGAATCGAATCGAATAGAAAATATGGAATAGAATAGAATAGAATAGAAAATATGGAATGGAATGGAATGGAATAGAATAGAACAAAATAGAATAAAATAGAATACAATAGAATACAAAATATGGAATAGAATAGAATGGAATGGAATGGAATGGAATGGAATAGAATAGAATAGAATAGAAAATATGGAATAGAATAGAATAGAATGGAATGGAATGGAATAGAATAGAATAGAATAGAATAGAATAGAATAGAATAGAATAGAATAGAATAGAATGGAATGGAATGGAATGGAATGGAATGGAATGGAATGGAATAGAATAGAATAGAATAGAATAGAAAATATGGAATAGAATAGAATGGAATGGAATGGAATGGAATGGAATGGAATAGAATAGAATAGAATAGAATAGAAATATGGATAGAATAGAATAGAATAGAATGGAATGGAATGGAATGGAATGGAATGGAATGGAATGGAATAGAATGGAATGGAATGGAATGGAATGGAATGGAATGGAATGGAATAGAATAGAATAGAATAGAATAGAAAATATATGGAATGGAATGGAATGGAATAGAATAAAATAGAATAAAATAGAATACAATAGAATACAATAGAATACAAAATATGGAATGAATAGAATAGAATGGAATGGAATGGATGGAATAGAATAGAATGGAATGGAGTGGAATGGAATGGAATGGAATGGAATGGAATAGAATAGAATAGAATAGAAAATATGGAATAGAATAGAATAGAATAGAATAGAATGGAATGGAATGGAATGGAATAGAATAGAATAGAATAGAATAGAAAATATGGAATAGAATGGAATGGAATGGAATGGAATGGAATGGAATAGAATAGAATAGAATAGAAAATATGGAATGGAATGGAATGGAATAGAATCGAATAGAATAGAAAATATGGAATAGAATAGAATAGAATAGAATAGAATAGAATAGAATAGAATAGAATAGAAAATATGGAATAGAATAGAATAGAATAGAATAGAATAGAATGGAATGGAATGGAATGGAATGGAATAGAATAGAATAGAATAGAAAATATGGAATAGAATAGAATAGAATGGAATGGAATGGAATGGAATGGAATGGAATAGAATAGAATAGAATAGAATAGAATAGAATAGAATAGAATAACAGAGTCAGAAGGGACCTTGGAGGTCTTCTAGTCCAACCCCCAGCTCAGGCAGGAAACCCTACACCATTTCAGACAAATGGTTATCTAACATCTTCTTAAAAACGTCCAGTGTTGGAGCATTCACAACTTCTGGTGGCAAGCTGTTCCACTGGTTAATTGTTTTCACTGTCAGGAAATTTCTCCTTAGTTCTAAGTTGCTTCTCTCCTTGATTAGTTTCCACCCGTTGCTTCTTGTCCTGCCCTCAGGGGCTTTGACAGTATCTTCCAATACAGGTAGTCCTCAACTTACAACAGTTTGTTTAGCGACCGTTCGAAGTTCCAAGAGCACTGAAAAATAGGACCGTTTTTCATAGGGACGACCTTTGCAGCACCCCCCCTGCTCCTGTGATTAAAACTCAGATGCTTGGTAACTGGTTCATCTTTATGACGGTCTCGGGGGGGTCACGAGATCCCCTTTTGGGACCTTCTGATAAGCAAAGTCAGCGGGGAAGCCAGATTCACTTAACGACCATGTTATTCGATTAACGACGGCAGTGATTCCCTTAACAACTGTGGCAAGAAAAGGCGTAAAATGGGGCAAAACACGCCTTACTTAACAACAGAAAATTTGGCCTCAATTGCGGTCGTAAGTCGAAGGACCCCCTGTACTAAATTCTCCCCAGTGCTCCTCTTTTGTACTGAGGAAATGCGCCCTTTTAAGAATGGCCAGGCGGAAGTTCAACAGATGCTGTTTTCTCCATTGAGGCAGCGGTGGGATAAGCTTGGTCAAGTCCAAGGACTCCTCTGTTGGACAACTCTGACTGAGTCTAGGAGAAGGAAGCATCCTTACCTGTTGGACATTTTGCCCTTTGGTGACATATTCATTGCCAACCTTCACTCGGGGGTGACACAGCCCCTTGACCAAGTCGGCCGAGTTGAGACCCATCAAGTAGGCGGATTTATCTGCATCTGGAGAATGAAAGAAACGGTTCCAGCAAATTTCACGGGAACAGAAAGGTTCTGTTGTGGTCCGCCAAGCAGCCTGCGGAGCTGGCAGCGGAGTTGGACAGTGAGGAGGCTGGGGAGGACCATGGGACAGTCCTGGAGTCTGGGGAAGGCTCGGATGAGGGCTCTGCGTCGGAGGCAGAGATGGGCCCAGGGCCATCTGGGAGCGATGCGCGAATTCCGGAGCCTCCAGAGTCAGACAGCAGAGAGGCAGAGGAACAAGAGGAGCCTGTTCCTAGTGCGCGCATGCGCAGAGCTGCCAGAAGGCAAGAACAGTTAAAACAAAAGGGACAACTCAGGAGTAAGGCCTGGAGATGATTGGCCCCTCCCAGAAGGCTTAAAAGAGGAGCAAAAGCACATGGGCCCTTTGCAGGAAAGCAACGTTGTTAATTCTGTTCCCAGTCGGCATCTCTGTTTGATTCTGGACTCAGTATGGCTTTGCCAAGTAGGTCTTTGGCAGAGTGTCAAGGGAGATAAAGATTGGTGATTATCCCGAAGGACTTCTCCTGAAGGACTTTTTACAACTAATTGGGACTCAGCTGTGAATGAACGTAATTCACAGCTGTTGCAATAAAAGAGGTTTTTGGGACTACTCGTGTGTTTTAATGTCTCAGGAAGCCTAGGTCACAACAGGTTCCCAACCTTGTGATATATTCCTCTTCTGATGTTTCTCTTCCTTCCATAGAAGTCTTCTTCTTCCAAGACACTCAGAGGAGACCATCTCTATCTGTCTTCCTCCAAAAATGTTTCCCTCTACCCCTGAAATTCCCAACCACCAATGGAGTTCTGCAGATATGATGTTTATATATAGCACTACAGAGCAAACAAAGAGAACAGTCACCATGTGCTTTACTGCTTAACTGTTTAACTGTAACAGGAAACGGGAAACTCTACTTAGAACAAAAGAGCATAGAGGATATACCACAGATCCAAGCTTGTAAACACTGCCATCTACTGGTTGAATACTAATGTAGTTGTTGCATAGAAATACATCCCAACAATGAATTCCAACACTCACCTTCAGTCCCATCAGTCTCAGCCTGTTCTTCACGCTGCTTCTGCTTGAACTTCATGTTCCCGTAATGCATGATGGCGCCCGTCAGCTTGTAGACACCCACTTTTTCCTCAGGGGTGAAGCCCAGGACGTCAAAGGCACTCTGAGTGGAAAAAAGGTGGGTGAGTAGAATGAGACGTTGGTTGAACAGCTTGCTACCCATTCCTGAAAGGTTGATTAGCCTCAACCGAAAGTCACTTACATCGGTAGCCATTAGCTCTTCAGAGTCATCAATGGAGGCCACCGTTACTTCTCCTTGGGAGATGTAGTGGTAGTCGTAAGGGTTGTTGGTGACCAACAGAAGATCTGTTAGGAGAGGATGGGTGGAAAAATAAAGTTATGAGATGAGCTTATTCATAATACAGGCAATCTTCGACTTACGACCACAACGGAGGTCAAAATTTCTGTTGTTAAGTGAGACATTTGTTAAGTGAATTTTACAACTTTTTTTGCTGCCATTGTTAAGTGAATCACTGCTGTTGTTAAGTTAATCACAAGGTTGTTAGGTACATCTGGTTTCCCCATGGACTTTACCCCAGCTATGGACCCCAAAGAATGCAGCACACACAAACTCTATACAAAGCTTATTTTACACAAATAACTTAGTCTTTATCAACCAAAGGCTGTTAATAAACTGTCTTAACAGCCTACCAGAATTCTAAGATAAGGTAATCACAGTCTTACTAGAGTTGGCAGAAAGCTCAGAAGCAATTTTGCAGAGAATCCAGACGTGAAGGAAAGTGAACTAAAGTTGTTCCCTACAGCTTGCTGCAATCGAAGTTCCTCCTTAAATAGGCTAAGGGAGTGGCCAATTAGCCCCAAGCCTTACTCTCGAGGAGATCTCCTCCTGAGGAGCTATCCTGCCTTTTGGCAGCTCTGCGTGCCTGTGCATCGAGAAGAGGCTCCTCCTCTTCATCCTCTTCACTTAAAGGAGCTTCTGGAGGTTCTGAAGGCCCTGGCTGAATCCCTGCCTCTGGCACCACATCTTCTCCAGCCTCCTCACTGTCCGACTTGAGCGCCAGCTGCACAGGCCACTGGCGGAGCACTACACCAGCCTCCTCGTTGTCGGAATCAGCTACAATCTGCACAGGCCGCTGACGGGCCACAACAGCTTGTCAGAAGGTCCCCAAAATGTGATCACACGACCTTGGGACGCACCAACAGTCATAAATACAAACCAGTTGCCAAACAGCTGAATTTGGATCACACTGTTCTGGGGACACAGTAAAGGTCGTAACTGTGAAAACGGTCATCAGTCACCTTTTTCAGTACTGTTGTCACTTTGCACGGTCACTAAGCGAAAGGTTGTAAATTGCAGACAAATTCTGGGCTGGGGAATTCTGGGAGTTTGAAGTCCATAGGTTTTTAAATTGCCAAACGTGCGCACCCTTGGCGTAGACCCAATCCGAATAATTAAACACAACCATAGCTATCAAACAAATATACAACTGGTCCTTGTTTAATGTCCACTCATTCAACGACTGTTCAAACTTAGGATGGCACTGAACGAGTGGAAGTTACAGCCGGTCCTTGGAGTTCCAACCATTTGCAGTGTCCTCGTAATCGTGCGATTACAATTTCCGACATTTCCTGCTGGCTTGCCACAAGCCAAGTCAATGGGAAAGCCAGCGGGAAGTCGAATACGGTCCTTGCTTTATTTATGAAGCTTCGCTTAACGATAGGAACTGGGACTGCTGTCACTAAGCAGCACAGTCAGGCGTAATGCCCCATTTTATGACTGCGTTTCCCAAGCGACTTACTTACTTACTCCAGTCTTAATTGCTGTCACAAACCAAGGACCTCTCTGTAGAACGAAACCAAAATACATGGAGTACATCTGTTTCAAACGGATTTACTCATTGGCAGGACCAGAATCAGCACAGCAATGCGGTAGGACCAAGTTTAATGCAGGCTCTTTTTAAAATAGCCTATATGTTTATGCTTAGTCGTTAAACAAGGAGAAGAAGAAACAACATGAAGAAGAGATGATCCAGTAGATGCAGCCATTTTAATTTTCCCAGAGTGCCTCTGGATCAGGGGTGGTATTCACTTACTTTTGCTATCGGTTCGCAAATGGGAGTGCGTGTGGAGCCTTTCGCGCATGCACAGAGCGTCAAAAACGGGATGTGATGATGTCCGGGTGGGTGGGAGTAGACAGAACCTCCCACCGCCACCGCTACCGGTTTTCCCAAACCGGATATAACCGGCTGAATACCATCACTGCTCTGGATCCTAACATAGGCCGCATTCTGGGAATATAAGATCCTGGAATGCCAAAATGAAGGGTGCTGGGCTTCTTGCCCCCCCCATAGATGTGGTGCTCCCCAAATCTTCTTCATGTCTGGTTCTGGCCCTACCCAATGGGAATTGAACATAGAGGATCGTCTTTGGCTTACAGCCACAATTTTGAGCCCAAAACTTACGTCGCTAAATGAGAAAATTGTGAAGTCACAATTTTGCCCCTTCTTTTACGGCCTTCCTTGCCATGGTTGATAACAAACTGCAGCTGTTAAGTTAGCCACACAGTTGTTAAGTGTGAATCGGTGACTTCCTCCCCCCCCATTGACTTTGCTCGTCCGAAGGTCGCAAAAAGGGGATCACGTCACCCCAGGGATGCTACTGCAACCGTCATAAATAGGAGTCAGTTGCCAAGCAGCCAAATTTTAATCCCGCAGCCGTCGGGAACGCTGCAACGTTCGTAAGTGTGGAAAACAATCCTGAGTCCCTTTCTTCAGGACCGTTGTAACTTTTGAACAGTCACTAAACGCAGGGGTGGGAACAGTAGCAACCGGTTCTCTGCCTGGTTGCTGGGTGGGCGTGGCCATAGTAGGTATGGCCTACTTGGCCTCCTCCACCACGGGGGCGGGGGGGGCTTTTCACCCTCCCCAAGTTCTGGAGGGTTTTTTTGAGCCTCTGGGAGGGTGAAAATGGCCTCCCCTAGGCTCTGGAGTCTCTCCGGAGGCTGGAAATGGGCCCGTTTCTGAACTTCCGGAAGGCCCGGAAGGCTCTGGGAGCCTCTGTGCAGGCCCTGCACTTACCTGGCATCCAAAACGGGCAGCATGGAGACTCCTGGGAGGGGAGGGGCAGGACAGGGTGGGCGGAGCCAGCCAATCCTTGCAACTACCAGTTTGACGAACCGGATGTAAAATTAGCATCTGGCTCGCCCGAACTGATCCGAACCGGCTGAATCCCATCCCTGACTAAACAGATGTTTGTAAATCTGTATACACCCTCTTTCTATTCCCCCCCAAAAAAACCCATATAAAACTTGCCGAGAAGTTCTGGCTTCTTGTTGGACAAGATCTGATAGAAGATGTGATAATTTCTCTCAGATTTCAGCTGAAAAATCACCCGAGACTTCTCTAAGAGATCTATTTAAAAAAAAGGAGAGAGAAAAGAGAAATATAACAGAGGCTATGTAAACATGAGGAGAAGAAGAGGAAGAGGAAGAAGAAGAAGAAGAAGAAGAAGAAGAGGAAGAGGAAGAGGAAGAAGGAGGAGGAGGAGGAGGAGGAGGAGGAAAAAAAAACCCCAAAGATGAATGAGATTGGAATCAGATACAAAGAAGTGGTTCCATTTATTATTTTTTTAAAAAAGCATCTGTCAACAGAAGCGCCCAACCGATGGATGAAAAATTCGGAGAGGGAAGCGAAAGGTTGGATGGAAAGATCGACGGATGAGCAATTAATTAGGGTTTTATTGAGTTCAAGGTGATTCCTGTTGAGCTGGTGCTCCTCATCTTAATCATCTCTGGGGATTATTTATTGCCCTTCCGGTCACCTAGCTGACCTCATCCATCCATTTTCTTTGCTGTCTTTTTGCTTCTTCTGAATCTTTCTGTTTTCTAGTGTATAAATCGGTTTTGCACAGCTAGACCGAAAATGTCCGCAAGGTGCTTGCTTTTTTTTTTTTTTTCAAGAGGCAACTGGACTTTCTGGGTTTTTCTTTGAAGACGTTTCCCTTCTCATCCAAGATGCTTCTTCAGCTCCGACTGGATGGTGCTGGGAGATAAGGATTTAGTTTCAGAGCTGAAGAAGCATAGCATAGAAATAGAAATAATAGAAGTAGAAAAAGAAATAGAAATAGAAAAAGAAATAGAAATAATAGAAGTAGAAATAAAAGAAGTAGAAATAGAAATAGAAAAAGAAATAGAAATAATAGTAGAAATAGAAATAGAAAAATAAAAAGAAATAATAGAAATAGAAATAATAGAAGTAGAAATAGAAATAGAAAAAGAAATAGAAAAATAAAAAGAAATAGAAATAGAAAAAGAAATAGAAATAATAGAAGTAGAAATAATAGAAATAGAAATAATAGAAGTAGAAAAAGAAATAGAAAAAAAATAGAAAAAGGAATAGAAATAGAAATAGAAATAATAGAAGTAGAAATAGAAAAAGAAATAGAAATAATAGAAATAGAAATAATAGAAATAGAAATAATAGTAGAAATAATAGAAGTAGAAATAGAAAAAGAAATAGGAAAATAAAAAGAAATAGAAAAAGAAATAGAAATAATAGAAATAGAAATAATAGAAATAGAAATAACAGAAGTAGAAATAATAGAAGTAGAAATAGAAAAAGAAATAGAAAAAGAAAAAGAAATAGAAATAGAAATAATAGAAGAAGAAATAATAGAAGTAGAAATAGAAAAAGAAATAGAAATAATAGAAGTAGAAATAATAGAAGTAGAAAAAGAAATAGAAAAAAAATAGAAAAAGGAATAGAAATGGAAATAATAGAAATAGAAGTAGAAATAGAAATAGAAATAGAAATAATAGACGTAGAAATAATAGAAATAGAAATAGAAATAATAGAAGTAGAAATAGAATAGAATAGAATAGAATAGAACAGAACAGAACAGAACAGAACAGAATAGCACAAGAATAGAGCTGGGAGGGACCTTGAAGGGTAAGGTAAAGGTAAAGGTAAGGTTCCTCTCACACACATGTGCTAGTTGTTCCTGACTCTAGGGTGCGGTGCTCATCTCAATTTCAAAGCGCTGTCCGAAGACGTCTCCGTGGTCATGTGGCCAGCATGACTCAACGCCAAAGGCGCACGGAACGCTGTGACCTTCCCACCAAAGGTGGTCCCTATTTTTCTACTTGCATTTTTTTTTTTTATGTGCTTTCGAACTGCTAGGTTGGCAGAAGCTGGGACAAGTCACTGGAGTTTACCCCGTTACGCGGCGCTAGGAATTCGAACCGCCGAACTGCCGACCTTTCGATCGACAAGCTCAGCATTTTACCACTGAGCCACCTTGTCCCACCTTTTATAAAGCGGTGCTAATACTTCATGTGATTCTTGGATGAGAAGCGAAACATCTTCAAAAAAAACCAAAACAAAATAGAAAGTCCAGTTGCCTCTTGAAAAAAAACATTTTTGGGACAACCATGAACCTGGATGACGGAGAATCTCCCTAGATATCTAAACCAGGTTTGTAACTGCTAAAATTCTCAACCAGCATTGGTGGGTTGGTTAGGAGGCCCTATTGGTTAGGAAAGCATTAGACTGGACGTTGGCCAGGGAAAGAAGACGGACAGACAGACAAAGACAAGTTTTATCAACCAGGGTGACTTACACGTCTCGATATCAGCAGACGCCAACTTGCCTGTTGCCCCGAAATGAATTCGGATGAATTTACCCTAGGTAGAAATACGAGTGTAAATTCAGTGGTGCGGTGGCCTAGAGGTGGAGCTCTCGCCTCGCAATCAGGAGGCTGTGAGTTTGATCCTAGGTAGAGGCAGATATTTCTCTCTCTGGGCTCAATGAGAATATATCTGCTGAACAAAACTCCGCATTGGGGACAGGAAAGGCATCCGGCCAGTAAACACTCAGCTACATTCAGTCGCCCAGACTCCACCCCGCAAGGGATTATTCGGTTGTTAAATGATGATGAGAAATACGAGTGTAAATAGGTAAAAAAGATCTAGATTTCGATAAAAAATCTTCGACCATCAACCATTTGTTGAGAGACTGTTCGAAGTTATGACGCTGGAAAAAAGTTATTTATGACCAGTTCTCACACTTACGACCATTGTCGCAGCTTCCCCGGTCGCATGATCAAAATTTGGATGCTTGCAACTAGCTCGTATTTATGACCGTTGCTGAATCCTGCGGGGTCACGCGGTCATCATTTGTGACCTTCCGACAACCAAAGTCCACGGGAGAAGCCGGATTCGCTTAACGATGGTGTGATTCACTTAACAACCGCAGTGATTTGCTTAACACTGGTGGCAAAAAAGTCGTAAAACCGGGCAGGACTCATTTAACAATCGCCTCGCCTCGCGATGGGAATTGTGATCTGAATTGAGGTCGTAAGTCGAGGATTACCTGATCACAATTGAGCCCAACATTTCTGTTGCTAAGCGAGACAGTTGTTAAGTGAGATTTTCCCATTTGACAGCCTTTCTTCCCGCAGTTGATAAGTGAATCGCTGCAATTGTTAAATTAGTAACGTGGTCGTTAAGTGAATCTGGCTTCCCCATTGACTTTGCTTGTCGGAAGGTCGCAAAAGGGGATCACATGACCTCCTGGGACGTTGCCACTGACAAGCTTCTGAATTCGGATCATGTGACCATGGGGATGCTGCAGCCGTTGTAAGTATGCAAAATGGTCGTAAGTCACTTTTTTCCGTGCTGTTGTAACTTCAAATGGTCACTAAATGAACAGCTGTAAGTCAAGGACTTACAGATTATGGAATTGACTGATTATTATGGAATTGACTGATGGCTTTTGTAAGATGGCTGCTCTTTCAAGGTCTACTTAACCTTGTAGAGCAGGAAGACAAATGACATGTCTTCCTTCTTAAGACCTTCCATCGTGATTCTAGACCGGCACCTGGAGATCTTTCTTACTCAAATCCAGCAATGAGTTTCACATTATCCTACGACTAGTTCATTGAGCACGCACATGCTCACTTCGTGCGTGCGGACGCCCGGTTTGCACGTGCACCAGTGGTGGGTTGCTACTGGTTTGCCTCGGTTCGGGAGAACCAGTAATAGCTGTGGCGGGAGGCTCCGCCCACCCATCCGGATGGCATCAAATACACTCTGTGCATGCGCAGAAGCTTCTCGCACGTGCGCGAGCGAACAGGTAGCAAAGGTAAGTGAAACCCACCACTGACATGCGCGTGCCTGCCTTTGACACATGCGCTTTGCTCGTGTGCGTGCCTTCCACGCATGTGCCTGGCCTCAAAAATGTGCCTAAATAGGATGGCATAGTGGCATGGATGGCATAGTGCCGGGGTGGAGTCCCCCACAATTTCTGCTACCAGTTCGGGCGAACCGATCCGAACCGGCTGAATACCACCTCTGCTCAAATCCAACTTTAGATTTGGAACACTCACGAATCGAGAAGAATTGTCGTTCCTCAAAGTTTTGGCGTTGCCGAAGGCTTCTAAGGCAGGGTTAGCCTGGATAATTTGATCTTCCAACGTCCCCTATAGAGGAACCAAACAGACAAAAAATAAAATAAAATCCAGTTGAGAAGAAAGGTAGTTTGCTTTTTCATCCCATCTCCATAGAAACGGTTCTTAACCCACCATCATGAATGAGACCGTAGAAAAGTGTTTCTCAATTTTGGCAATGTTAAGCCAGGAACATCTTCTCAGGAGCATGCTATAAGAGAAGCTTGGTCCGGTTGCCCCAGCTTAATGACAGGCTGCAATGGCCGCCACCCCCGCTGCTGAGTCGGAGAGTTTCCTCTGACCTCTGAGGAACTTGCCTGTTCCTTCTGGTCGTCCGAGGTACCTCTCCTTCTTCTCTATCTCTATGTTCTGTCCCCAACCCCACGCACACACACCAACAGACGTTCAGGAGTTAAAGACCAAACCAGCCGGCAAAATCCTTTTCCTTATGATAACGGAACTTGGCAACAATCTAGTGGCTGCCTGCCAAAAGTTTATTATTTACGAAGAGGAGAGATAACTTCTCCCCACTTCTAATACATCAAAGGAAAGCAGTTCAATAATTATGGAATTAAATCAAGTCCAGAGATACTTCCAGCAAAGTCTTAAAGCAAAAGTCCGGCAATGCAGAATGGCGTGGAAGCTTTCAGCTTTGTTCGTCACAAGGTTTGACTGGCCACCATGCTCCCTTTTATATCCTGTGGGGTGTGGTCCAGTGACTCAGCCTAATCTCGGGCACGCCCTTTCTTCTGTTGCGCGCACTTATCTCTGCGACGCTGGCGTGAGTCCAGCCAAGACTTATTACCCTCATCACTGTTCATCTGTGGCTGTGTGGACGTGCTTGGCCCTGGCCCTATCTCTTGCTCTTTGGCGGACACCAAAGGCATTGCCAGAGAGGAGGGTCCTGGAGAGGGAGGCCTTGCCAACTCCTCTCCTTCACTCTCAGAGTCCTCTCCTGCCAATGACACAGGCTCAGGTAACGGAGCCACAAAACCCTACAGGACAGATCCGGTCCTAAGACCCCTCAACAGTGGCTTGTTAGCTTGGGATCTCGTGGGGCTCATTAGAGCCCGGTATTCTCTAATTCTCTAATTCTCTCGCCATGATGCTTCTGGTCGCAGTTCTCAGGAGCATGCTATAAGAGAAGCTTCCCTAGGTTGATGTTCTCCAGAAAACACCAGGAACATCTCAGGAGCATGCTATAAGAGAAGCTTCTCCAAGTTGATGTTCTCCAGCTTCTCCAGGTTGAGGTTCTCCAGAAAACACCAGGAACATCTTCTCAGGAGCATGCTATAAAATAAGCTTCTCAAGAGTTGATGTTCTCCAGATGTTAGCCTACTAGCCCCATCACCTGTAGTTAAACATATCTGGAGGGAAGCAGATTGGGTTGGACTATTGAACCCCAAAACCAGAATAAGAACTACCTTGGGGGAATTGGCAGCCTCTTTTTTGCGGTCCCCAATGGCAGCGATGCTGGCAAAGTATTGGATGACCCGTTTCGTGTTGACCGTTTTCCCAGCACCGGATTCTCCACTGAAAAGGAGACAGGATAAGGTGGCTCGGAGAGTCACGAACCAATTAAGCGAACTAATTGTCTCCTGCAAACACCCCTCCCTTTTCTCTCCCCTTTTTTTCCCTATGGAAGGGGCCATTCATCATCCACCTGTGGCTTTACTCCTGAGTTGACCCTTGTTCCTTAACTGTTCCCTTCGTTCGGCAACTCTGCACATGCGCACACTGGGAACAGGCTCCAGCTGTTTGTCTGCCTCACAGATGTCTGACTCCGAAGGCAGTTGCTAACTATCATGCGGCCCTGGCCGCCTCTCTGCCTCCGATGCAGAGCCCTCATCAGAGCCTTTCCCAGTCTCTAGGACTGGCCCATGTTCCTCCCCAACCTCCTCACTGTCCGAATTTGCTACCAGCTCCGTTGGCCGCTGGTGGGCCACAACAGTAGCTTTCATCTATGTCTTCTAAACCATCCCATTTTTTTAAAAAAAGGACCTCCTACAGCTTTTAAAACTTTAGTGAGAAGATGCATTTTGGTACTCACGTGATGAGGACAGATTGATTTTCTCGATCTGAAAGAAAGTAGCAAATATCAAGAAGGGCTCAGAGTGGAGTCGAATTTAACCCATTCGTTCATCTTTGACCATGGATGGGTAGCTCTGACACCATCCAGAGGCAGTGCTCGACTTACGACCACCACTGGGAAGACAATTTCCATTGATAAAACAAGGCGGTCATTAAGTCAGCCGTGTCCGAATTTAGGACCATTTTGGCGACAGTTGCTACTGTAAATTAGGCTGTTGTTTACTCTTAGCTTGTTTGTCTGCGTTGGTGGTTCCTTGATTGGGGTGTTGTTTACTTCTTGATTGTTGATCTTGGTGTTAGTCTCTGCTCATCTGGATGTTAATCAGGGGTGGTATTCAGCCGGTTCGGACCGGTTTGCTCGAACTGGTAGCGGAAATCACGGGTGGGTCTGCCCTGGCTCTATGCTGTCCTATTTAGGTACATTTTTGAGGCCGGGCGCATGCACGGAAGCTGCATGTGAGAGCAAAGCGCATGTGCAGAAGACAGGAGTACGCGCACACACATGAAGTGAGCGTGGATGCGCAGGGCGAACCGGTAGCAACATAATGTGCAACCCACCACTGGTGTTAATTGATGGTGAGGAGGTGTCGGAGTCTTTTTGTTTCCCCTTTGGCTTTTCGCTTCCCATTTTTGAATGGTATGTAGTTGTTGCTTATCTCTGTGTGCCCGTTGATGGCCGATTTGCCTGAGTGCCAGGCTTCCTAGAATTCTCTAGCGTTTTTGGACTTAGCTTAGTCTCTAGGATGTTCGTCGCTACCCTACCCTGGTGAAACTATGGTTAGGTCTGTCCACGTGTTGGGAAATTAACAACAGCATAACCAAGGAACCACCAAGAACACTCCCATCGACACTGACAGGGCGAGCCACTAAGAGCCTTGATAGTACAGTGGTCTAAGGCACCCTGTTATTAAGCTGGTTATTAAGACCAGCTGCCTGCAATTACTGCAGGTTCGAATCTCGCCAAGGCTCAAGGTTGACTCAGCCTTCCATCCTTTCTAAGGTAGGTAAATTGAGGACCCAGTTGTGGGGGCAATAAGCTGACTTTGTATAAATATACAAAAGAATGAAGGCTATTGCTGAGCACATTGTAAGCCGCCCTGAGTCTCCGGAGAAGGGCGGCATATAAATCAAATTTAAAAAAAAAAGTATATAAAAAGAGAGCAAAACCAACTCTCTTCTAGCACTGATGAGGTTACTTAGTTGGGTCATGAAATGTCTGCAAGAAAACAAACAAGCTCAGAGAACACCAAGGATCCCACAGCCGCCCTCTCCTCCCCTCTCCTCCCCTTCCCTCTCCTCCCCTCCCCTCCCCTCTCCTCTCCTCTCCTCTCCTCTCCTCTCCTTCACTCCACAAACCCCACTACCTTCTAGCACTGATAATGTTCCCTAGTTTGGTAATGAAACGTCTGCAAGAAAACAGAGCTCAGAGGACTCCACAGCCCTCCTACTCTTCCTCCTCTTTCTCCTCCTCCTCTCTGTAAACCCCCCTCCCTGCTAGCATTGATGATGTTTCCTAATTGGGTAATGAAACATCTGCAAAAAAGCAACCAAACTCAGAGAGTACCAAGGACCCCGCAATCCTCCTCCTTGTTCTGCCCCAGCTCTGGATTCCCGAGGATATTGACACACCCCAACAGTCCTTATCAAATTTATTAAGTAACAAGAATAAACCAAAGTCCGGCAAAGGTTGGCAACCAGCCCAGAAAACAAGATACGATAAGACTTTTCCAAAAATGCTCTGATGATAATTACAAGTTGTTTCCAGCAAGAAACTTACTAACGGCGTGTGACTTAAATAGGCTAAGGGAATGGCCAATTATCCTCAAGCCTTACTCTCGTGGAGACTTCCTTCTCCTGAGTAGCCACTCCTGCCTTTTGGCAGCCATGCATACTCGAGCATTGAGAAGAGGCTCCTCCACTTCACTCTCTCCACTTGAAGGAGCCTCTGGAGGTTCTGAAGGCCCTGGTTGAGTCTCTGCCTCTGGCACCACATCCTCTTCAGCCTCCTCGCTGTCTGACGCGAGCACCGGCTGCGCAGGCTGCTGGCGGGCCACAAGACTCCTCCCCTTTGTTTCCTCCTCATCTCTCCAACCCCCCCTCCCTTCTGACCCTGATGAAGTTCCCTAGTTTGGTAATGAGACATCAGCAAGGAAACAACCAAACTCAGAGAGCACCAAGGACCCCTCATTTCGACCCTGAGCTACAACTCTTCTCTGCTACACAACATCCTGACAACATCTGCTTGAAGGCTTCCTACCTGTCAACATGTATTGATACGCGTTGTCGGAGATCGAGAAAATATGGGGAGGGGCTTCGCTTCTCTTTTTCCCCCTGTAGGCAGACACAACCTCAGCGTTGTAGACGGGGAGCCATTTGTATGGGTTGACCGTCACGCAGAAGAGGCCTGAATAAGTCTGGGATAGAAAAAAAGACCAAAAACCCACAAAAAAAATCACTCAAAATTGCACAATTCGAAGCATTTTCTTCTGGATGCGATTGCTGAACTTCCTGTAAACCTGATATTCTCCTCATGGAGTGAACTTCATCTCCCAGAATTCTCAGCCATAGCCACGCCCACTGAGGAATTCTGGGAGTTGAAGTCCAAACATTTGGAGAAGTTCGCTTCAACTCATTATTTGGTACGGCAGGAAATTGTAAGAGCAAAATGGAAGTTCCGCTGGAGAACGGTTCCATACAGTAGCCCTCGACGTACGACCACAATTGAGCCCCCATATTTCTGTCGTTCAGTGAGACCTTTGTGAAGCGAGTTTTGCCCCATTTTACGCAGTTGTTAAATGAATCACTGCGATTGCTAAGTGAGTAACCCGGTGTAATTAAAACGACAGGGATATGAATGCATGGTTGTGGCTGCCATCTTGACTTTTTTGACCCCTCTTCCATCTGACCCTCCCTGTAAGAGGACCCAAAGGTGCTTTTTCAAAAGGCAACTGGGCTTTGTTTTTCCTTGAAGACATTTCACTTCTCACCCAAGAAGCTTCTTGAGTTCTGACTGAATGGTGGAGGATGGAAGGATTTATATTCCTTTGCAGTCATCTGGTCGTTAGTATTCTCTCTGAGAGTCTTTGAGGCTACTTGGAGGTTTATCTCAGCCCTAAGGGTCCCCTGAATAGTGCAATTGGATGTGGAACCTTCTCGAAACCGCTGAAGGGACCGTGTTGTAACATTTACAACCTAGTTGCACTATTTAGGTGACCTCCAAGCGGCCTCAATGACTCTCAGAGAGAGTACTAATGACCAGACGACTGCAAGGAATACAAATCCTTCTATCTTCCTCCATTTAGTCAGAACTGAAGAAGCTTCTTGGATGAGGAGCAAAACATCTTCAAGTCCAGTTGCCTTTTGAAAAAGCACTTTTGGGACAACCATGACCTGGATGACAGAGAATCTCCCATAAAACGACATCAACAAAGATCACTGGAAGTGGGAGGGGTGTTTTGGGGGAGAAAATAAACCCTGATTTCCAGTGGGGCCCCCAAGGACGGACGTCTCTTTACTCACATAGATCATCCAGGAGGCGTAGCGCTCCTTCAAATTGTAGAGCACGGCCGGTTCGTGCAGAAAAGTCAGCATGGCCATGTCCTCGATCTTGTCGAATTTGGGCGGGTTCTGCTGGTGGATGTCGGCCTCCCTCACCGTCACCGTCTGAAAAGGGTCAGGAAGAAGGAACAGAGGTTGGCTGGGTGTAAATTGGACTGTGAGAATGACCTTGGCAGACAGGAGGAAGAGCTGCAGACGAGTCAGTGATCAGATAAGAGACATCTCAGCCCACGGAAGAAAAAGGGGTGTGGGAAGGATCCCTATAACAGAGTTGGAAGGGACCTTAATCCAACCCCCTGTTCAAGCAGGAGATCCTATGTCATTTCAGACCAATGGTTGTCCAATCTCATCGACAAAACCTCCAGTGATGGAGCACCCACAAATTTTACAGGCAAGTCGTTCCACTGATTAATTCTTCTCACTTTCAGGAAATTTCTCTTTAGTTCTAGGTTGTGTTGTGACCCAGGCTCACTTGGTCATTACAAGACACAATTAGTCCCAAACAAACCTATTTTATTGTAACAGCTGAGAATTACTTCACTCTCAGCTGAGTCCAAATTAATTGCAAAACAAGACCTTCAGAAGAAGTCCTTCGGGCTTATCACACACCTTCATCTTCTTCAGCACCCTGCCAAAGGCCTTTCTTGGCAAAGCCCCACGAAGTTCAGAAACAAACAAGAGATGCCAACTGGAAACAGATTTAGCAACATTGCTTTCCTACAAAGAGCCTAAGAGCCTTTGCTGCTCTTTTATGGGAGAAGCCAATCATCTCCTGGCCTTACTCCTGAGTCGTCCCTTTT